TTCCTGTTTGGCTGGGGCAGGAGTCGGCAACCCGCAGCTCTGGAGCCGCATGTGGCTCTTTCATCTCCTCTGCTGCGGCTCCCCATCGCCCGTCGGCTCCACAATTGATAGGGCTTTCTATTAGGACAGGTAGAGGAAAAAGGAGGCCGCGCTAGGGGGAGATTCTATGGTTGGGGGAACAGGACTTCCACTTGGCTCCAGAATTGAACCTGGGCGGGGGGTGGTGGGGCTTCCAGACTTTTGTGGCTCTTTTGAGTGTTTAAGGTTGCCGACTCCTGGGCTGGGGGGGGAGAAAACTCAATAGGCACAGAAAATGATAAGACATATAAATGAAATAAAAGGTCAAATTGGAAATGCTTTTTTTTCTGAAGGGACAGGCAGAACAGGGGAGGATGGTTGGGAGAGTCCCTTTTTGCCGGGTTTGAACTCCCAGGCCCCTTTCCGCTGGCTTTTCATCTGCAGGGCAATTGGAACTTAAGATTTTATTATTTTATTTTGCTTTTAAACTTTTTAAAATGTATTTTGTCATCTTGTAATGCAGCGACTCGGGGTGGCTAATGAGCTAGCTTCCTTCCTTGCTTCCTTGCTTCCTTCCTTCCTTCCTTGCTTCCTTCCTTCCTTCCCCTTCCATCCTTCCTTCCTTGCTTCCTTCCTTCCTTGCTTCCTTCCTTCCCCTTCCTTCCTTCCTTCCTTCCTTCCTTCCTTCCTTCCTTCCTTCCTTCCTTCCTTCCCCTTCCATCCACACCTCATCTCATCTATCTCCTTCCTTCCCCTCCTTTCTTTTTCTTTCCCAGGCCTTCCCTCCGGGACCCTACGCCACCCCGCCTAGCTTTGGGGTCTCCTTCGGTGCCACCCCCGGCGGGGGCCTGCCCACCTTGGGGGCCAACTACAGCCAAATGCCAACTGGCTCCTTCATAACGGGTGAGTTGGGGGTGAAGGGGGCAGCAGGCTTGGGAGTCAGTGCTGGCATGGCTGGGAGTTACACAAAAACCAGACAGTTATGAAAGCACCACCATGTCGTGCGCAGGAAGGGAATCCTCAACTTACAACCACAACTGATTCCCATTGCTGAGCAAGGCCGTCGTTCATTTGAGTTTTGCCCCCGTTTTATGGCCTTTCTTGCTCTATTTGGCCAGGGAATCCCAGAATCCTGGTTCAATTAATAACACAGTTGTTAAGTGAATCATTGGCTTTCCCAATGGCTTGTCCGAAGGTTGCAAAAGGGACTCCAATCATCATAAATAAGCACCTTGAATTTTGATCATGTGACACCCCCCCCCCCCCGGGGATGATACTACGGTCGTAAGTGCGAAACACGGTCCTAAGTCCCTTTTTTTACAGTGCCATTGTGACTTTGGATGGACACTAAACGAATGGTTGTAAGTCAAGGACTACCTGTAATAAAGGCAGGATATAAGATTTAACAAATATATATATATATTTATAAATATTTTGGGCAAACCAATTACCGAGAGATTCGGAAGCGACAGAACTCTTGCCTTTTCTCTCTCTCTCTTTTCCTCCCTTTCTTTTTCCTCCCCCTCTATTTCTTCCTCTTCCTCTCTTCCTCTTCCTCTCTAACCCACCCCTCAACTATCGTTGCAGCCAACGGGCCCCCCGTGATTGTGAAGAAGGAGAAGGAAGGCGAAGGCTTGGAGAAGAAAGAAGCCAAAAGCGGGGAGGTGATTTGCATAGACGACTGAGGGGGGGGGCGCCGCGGGGGGGAGGGGCGGAGCGGATGGGCCACCTGCCCCTACCTGCGCTGGCCCCACTTCTGCCCCAGGGGCCCTCCAGCCTCTCCTTTTTTTTTGATTTTCGGATTATGTGAATGGCTTTGGGCCTTGCCAGTGATTCCTGCCCCAGCCTTGGATTCGAATTCCTCCCCCCAAGCCCCTCCCCTTCCTGCTGGGGGCGGGGAGCGGCCGGCCACACCTGGAAATCTATCCCCCGGTGGACTTATAAGACTGACCAAGAGGTACTCAGGACCGAGCTGGTTTGTATCCCTGGCTCGCGGTTCCGGGTCGGGTCGCGGGGTGGTGTGTGTGTGGGGGTGGAGGGCAAACTTAAAAAGAGCTAGGACCAAGGTCGCATGGGGCTTGGACAGGGGGAGGGCGGCAGCCTGCTGCCCCCTCCCCAGTGTCGAAATTTTTGGAGAAGCACTGCAAAAGGGACTCTTTATAAATATGAATATATATATAATGTATACACACTCATGCTGTATGTTTAATCCCCTTTCCCCTCTTTTGAGCCTGGCTCCCCGCCGGGGGTGGGGGGTGGGGAACGCAGAGACCCTCCTCCCCGAACCACAGTTTGTGTGGGGGATCCCACGGGCCACCCGCTCCAGCCAGAACTTTGGGGGGGGGCCTGCCCAGATAATGCCCCCGCTTTGGGAGGGGAAGTCCCGTTACTCCCCTTCGCCTCCCCCCTGTGAAAGCGAGCCGGTTTTTGGGGGGGTGGGGAGAACAGGGTGGGATGGGGTTTGGGGGGGTGGGTGGGATGGGAAGAGGCCAAGCTGCACTCCTGGATGGGTTGCCGAATTTTGAGTCACTTCTTGTTTAAATCTTGCAGAATAAAGGCACTGTTTCCTTGGCTACATAAGCCCCCCGTTTGCACCTGCCTCTTCTGTTTAGGGCAACTACACACACACACACACAAAACACCCCGAGGCATTTTGGCTCCGCCCCAATCTTTTTTCACCCCAAAATTGGAGGGATGCTAATAAAGACGCAGTTGGGGAGAGGGGGGGTTAGTTGGGGGGTGCGTGTGAAGGAATAAGCTTGCTCAGGTCTAGCCGTTGGTGCCTGGCACCATTTCTCAAATATCAAATATTTTTAATATTTTTTAAAACGGTCTTCAGAGTTTTACTTTACTTTTTTACTTTACTTCCCAGTAAAAAGAAAAAAAAGGGGGGCGGGGGGGGGGGAATCAAGAGTCACGTGACCATAGGATACTGCAGATGTCCTAATTTGAAGGACCCCCTTTCCGCAGTTCCATCTGTGTGACCCAACAGGGCAGGGGAAGTTAGGGGTCCCCTCTGGTGGGATAGCCTCCTCCGTGGTGGCTCCCTCCCTGTTATTTGAAGGACCGTCGTGAATCTGTGGGGGGAGAGGAGCTTGAACCTGAGAGATTGAGGGGGCGGGGGTGGAAATTGGGGAAGGGCAGGGCCAGTCAGGCCGAGGCATTTCAGGATTAGAACCGCTTGTAGAGACAGGAACAGGGACAGAGGATGAACACGAGAGAGATGGAACTCGCTCAGGGGATGAGCAAGGACCGACTTCTCCTCCTCCTGATCCGAGAGCGAAACACAGTGCAGACAGACCCGACTACTCAGGAGCAGAGCACCCCACCCCTCTTCACAAGGCACACGTGGGAAAACGAGGCTCCAGGAGAGGCTGTGGGGAGGGGGCTTTTGTTGGGGGCAAACGCAGAGCCCCTGAAGCGTTGGATGCCCAAACGGTTGAACTTTCCAAGAGCCCTTGCATTATTATTTCTGGGCCTGATTCCCTGGGTCCTTTGCTTCCTGAACTCCTCGGTTTCCCCTGCTGGATTGATTGCGGTGCAGCCTTGGGTGTACGCATCATGGCTTTTTATGGCTTTTATATTGGGTTTCTATTCTTGTCAGCCACTGAGGGTTAAGTTAGGGGGGCGATACAAACGCCCTTAAACAAATGGCTACCGTCAGATGACTGGGGCAAACATTGGAATTTTAAAACCTGGGTCGTAAGTACTTTCTTTGCCTTTGTAACTTGGAACAATAAGCAAGCAACCGGTCATTAGGCAAGGACCGCCTGTATTGCTAGCACATTACGAGCCAGCCTATTGTGACTTAAAAAAAAAAAAAAAAAAAAACTAGCAGGGAAAACTGGTTAAACATGGTAAAATGTCCTACAGCCACAATCCCAGTTTACTCACTGTAAAAGTTTCCATCTTAATTATATGTAAACCCTAATTGCAAGTCCAGGAAGATTCAAACGACTTGACACAGCACAATTTTTACCCTCTGAAATAGGAATCGCTTCACTTGTTCAGCTAAAATTGTGGCTTAGATGACTCTTCAGAAATCTGGAGGCTTCCCCATCCCCCAAAAACAACCCCCCCCCCCCCAAATTTGGGGGCTAACTGTCCAATTAGTTTCCCCCCCCCCCCAAAGGGGTGTTCCCACTTGGCCGTTTGGAAAATGAGAGGCTCTTTCTGGCCTCCAGAAGCTTTGAGTCACACATCCCGCCGTGCCTTGTGCCGTTGGGGTATGTACAAGTTGCCTGTAGCAACGGCCCAGGGCGGCATCTCCGGCGTAGTGACTCAGTGGCTTCCCGTGCATCCAAAGCGGGGCAAGGTCATGCGAGGTATGGGAAGATTATAGGTCGGGAGCTGTTTGCAAAACAGGATATGGCTAGAGGAAGCTTGCAGCTGTGGCTTCTCCACCTGGATCAAACTCGAAGCTGCAGGAAGATGGCGGCATCGCAAAATCCTTTAGGAGAGTTTCCTTTCCCCCCCCCCCCCCCCCCCCCATTGTTACAACCCATTGCAGCACATGGCCTGGGGAATTGGTTATACGTGCTGACTGTATAAACCACAAATGTTGGCTGGTTGTGTTTCTGCCTTAGCCGCAGAGGCAGCACCCCTTTCAATCATGTCACCAGCAAAAAAATATATTTCCAAATCATGGTTTATTCACATTAACAATAATACCTTCAGCTGCCAAATGATAGCAGGATATAAATATTAAATTAGGAAGGGTTTTCAAACACATTTCACAGAAATGGATTCTTTTTTTAAAAAAAAAAAAAACATATACAGCATTTGAAAGTAAGTGGCAAGATCTCACAAGAGCTCAGTCTACAGAGGGAAATACATACAGGAGCAGAAAAAAGGACCCTTTCCCAGTTCATAATTCATACAAACAAAGATATCCTGACAAAAGACACAACTCAGTGATCTTACTGAAAACAATCACAAGGGAACATTTATCTCTGGGGAGAAAAAAAAATAAAGTTGTTTTCTCGGGAGCTGTTGAAACTTTGGACATATTTTATTTCAGTTCCTCGTCTAAGAAACCAAACAAGATCAAGAGGTCAAGTTTCCTCCTCCTACAGACCAGAGATATTCCTAAAAGTCAGGTTTGATGTTTTTTTTTCCCCATTTCAGGTCTATGATGCAAAGAAAGTTCCAATCCAACCAGAGAAATAAGATTCCTGGAAAAAAAAAGTCCATTCTGCTTCTGGAGGCAACTATTAATATAAATTAAGTCTTCACAATGTTTTAAATGTTCTTCGTGTTACAGAATAATTTCCTCTGCTGGAACTCCTGCAGTCACTTGTATTTCACAGTGAGAAGTGGTGAAATAATTTCTGTCCATTCTTGGGCCACTGTCAACATTGGCCCCCTAGTAACCCAAAAAGACAACATCCTGGGAGGACGCAGCTACCTTCTCCAGATAGCCAGTCCCCTTGATACAAATTGACCACAAAAATACTTTTTGTCCGTGCACAGTGACCATGGCTTTTCAGACGACATAGCAAGTCACGAGGGCCAAGTCCTTCATTCCCGAACCTAAGGGAAGAGAATGACTGACATTAACAGAGAAGAAAGCCTGCAATTCCTTCAGCAAAGTGGGGGCGGGAAAGAGAGCCAGCTGGGGAATTCTGGGAGTTGAAGTCCACAAGCCTTAAATTCAGGGCTCTCCAACTTTGGGCCCCTTTAAGATAGGTGGACTTCAACTCCCAGAACTCCCCAGCCAGCCAGCCATGCAGGGTAACTTTCTTAAAGAGACGGCAGACATGCAGTAAGCGTAATAGACCTTGACGTCAGCACAAGCGGGGCGGGGGGGGGGGGGGGGAGGGCGCGGGGGGGGGGATTCTGGGGGCTGCACACAAAAGGCCCCACAAGCTAACCTCGGGGGGGGGGGGCGCTCAAGCCAGGTTCGAGGGCTTTGGGGTGCTGCAAACTGCTCCCTCCGCAAAACGCGTCCTGCACGCACCCGGCAGCCCGTCAACCTCATGCAAGCCAGCGTTATTTTTCCCCCCCCCCCTCCGCCTCCCTTCTCTCGGGAAGGTCACTCACAGTTGATTGGTTGCTGTCTCCGCCACGTGGAGCCGGAACCACCACGTACCCGCCCTCTCCCACCGCGCGCATGCGCTTGGCCTCCTCCTCCCTTTAGGAGTTTTTTTAGCGTCCGCCAGGGGCGCCATTGTATGACCTCGCCATTCTCATTCTCTTCCTCTTCTTCCTCCTCCTCCTCCTCCTCCTCCTCCTCCTCGTCGTCGTCGTCGTCGTCGTCGTCCTCGGTAAAGCTCTCCAGACAGGCGGGATGGTCCTGTTCTCGCTTCTGGAGCATGACCTGCTGCCAGAGTTCGCTGACGATGGGCGGCATGATCAGCCGCCGCCTCCAGCCGCCGGTGTAGCGCCTCAGGCCGGCCGTCACCGTCTTGCTGCCCGCGCGGAGGGAAGTGATGGTCCGACAGTAGGGGCACATGACCTGCTCCCACCAGCTCTCGCGGGCCAGCCGGCAGATGCAGGCGGTGCAGATCACATGGCGGCAGCACGAGGGCTTCCAGGAGCCCCGCGTGCTGCCCAGCTGACGGGGCGCTCGCTCGCAGCAGTCGTAGGGCATGCAGCAGATGCCGCACTCCAGCTCAGACATCGCTTCGCTTGCACCCGCAGCCTCCGCCATGCTTCTTCCTCCGCCGCCGCCGCAACCGAGTCCACTAATCGAACGCGCTCGCTCGCTTGCCCTCTTACTGATATAGTCGCGTGGAGCCCTCCCGAGCCACGCCTCTGGACGTTCCATCCAATGAGGAGCGGGGCGAGGCAGCCGCACCCCCCGTTCTTGTCCAATCAGAAAGGGGGCGGGGGGGGAGGGACGACGACGAGGACACGCCTCCCCTTACTCGCGCGCTTTTCTTTAGGCGGGAAAAGCGGGTTGCATGCCGCTAATGGGTGGTGAAAGCAAAAAGGGGGCGGAGCTTGAGCCGAGGCGAATGGAATGGCTGAGGTTTGGTCAGGTAGAAGTCGGTCTGTTGGGCTGGGCTCACTTAAAGAGCTGCGTTGAATTTAGCCTTCCCGGCACACCAGCAAAGCCGGTGGAGGATTAGCTGGAGGATTCCGTGATTCACTTAAGAGCTCGAGTGATTTGCTTAACAAAATGGGAATTAAAAGGCTTTTGCAAACTTGGTTGCAGCTCAGTTTAACAACTACCTTGCTTAGCAACTCAGGTTCTGGTCGCAACTGTTTCATAGAATAACAGAGTTGGAAGGGGCCTTGGAGGTCATCTAGTCCAAACCCCTGCTTGAGCAGGGGAGTTTATTCCAAATATTAGCCTCTACCTAGGATTAAACTCACAGTCTCCTCATTGTGAGGCGAGAGCTGCATTCATAAGTCAAGGACTCCCTTTCTACAACATAACCAGTATCTGCAGTCAAGCAACCTAATGCAAAAACCCAAACAGCATTTCTTAGTGCAATATATGCTGTACCAGGTTCTCTCCTGACTGAGAATTAATAATAATAATAATAACAATAATACATTTATTTATCTCCTTTATTCATTAAACATGAAACTCAGCCAACTGAGCATTTAAAATGTATCACAAATATAATTGACTGGCGCTGATGGTTGATACGGGTTTTTATAACAATACATTTTATTAGTATTCTTGGTATTGATATTAATATTAATGTTTTTGTTATTGTTTCGTGCTTAATGAATAAATGATAATATAATAATATATTTATTGTCACTTTGAATGTACACTAAGCGGTGTACATTAAAATGAAATTTTGCTGCAAAGAGCTCTCAAAGGGTCACCACCTCCAATATACACTACATAAAACATAACAAAATAAATAAATTCAGAATTATGCATATACCCACATACTTATACCCCATGATGATACCCCCCCCCCCAGTATTCCCAGTCAACCCAGGCTGGGGATAATGGGAGATGGTGTTCCCCAGCTGCATGTTGCTGCTGGACCCCCACATTGATCTGTGGCTCTGCTTCTATTTTTTATTTAAAATTAGCTTAGACTGGGTTTTTCTCCACTACTACTGGTTAAATTAGTGCAGCCAAGATAGGAATTTTAAATAGTTTCCAATTATTGCAGTTGGTCAAGTATTCTGTAACACACACACACACACACACATGCACACACACACATGCACACACACACACACACACACATGCACACACACATGCACACACACACACACACACTGTCTTCCTATCATCTTCATTTAATGACCCCCAAATCCCTTGCAACTGAATGGAGCTAGCAGTGTTTTAATTGCCAGATGCCCTTCCTGTGGCCAATGTGTAGTTTTTTTCAGACACACAGAGTATGTATGTATACCTTTGTATTGTCTGTTTACCTACAGGTAGTTCTCGACTTATGACTATAATAGAGTTCAAAATGTATATTGCTAAGCAAGACGTTAAGTGAGTTTTGTCCCATTTTATGACTTTGCTTGTCAGAAGGCCCCAGAAGGACATCATGTGACCCGGGACTCTGCAACCGTCATAAATATGAGTAAGTGGCCACCAAAATCTGTTCAATTTTTAAAAATTTCTTGAATTCAGTTCTGAACGTAATTTGCAATTCTGGCTAATTTTGTAGCCCAGAAGCCCTTAAGTCATTTCAGAAAGTTACTGCTGCAGACTATATTTTTTAACATGGCAGAAAAGTAGAAGGATCCTGTAGTGTATTCAAATACAGACTTCTAATACTACATTCCTATTGGTTAGTTAATACAGCATAACGATTGGTTAAGAACAACTAGTTCCGATTGGCCACATAAGCGGCGGGAAGTTTAAACATATGCCATTGGTTGCGAGCCGCGAGCAGCCGCTATAAAAAGGGCTGCCGCGGCTCGACTTTAGTTGAAGTTACTGGTTGCTAATAAAGAGCTGATTTCAACTCCGGTATCCGAGTCTGCTTTGTCTTGGCGATAGAACACTGGCGACAAAGGTGGGATTGAAGAGACAAAGACCGTAAGCACGTGGCAACGATAGCTGAAGGACCAACGAGATGGCCAGCAACAATTTGCCTCCTGCACCGTTCAACCCAGCCGAAGAAGACTGGGAGTCATACATTGACAGATTCCTGATGTTCTTAGAAAGCAACGAACTGCAAGGAATCACCGACCAGAGAAAGAGAGCCGTATTTCTAACGCATTGCGGCCCAACTATATTCAAAATGGCCAAGGCATTAGCAAGACCAAATGATGTTAAACAGATGGCCTGGCCAGACCTAAATCGGATGCTGAGAAACCATTACGCGCCGGTCGTGTCCAATCTCATTAGAAGACACGAATTCTACAAGCGCGACCATCTAGAAGGTGAGAGTATTGGAGACTTCGTAGCAGCATTAAGAGACATGCGGGGGGGCATGCGAGTTCCTCAACATGGATGAAGCCATGAGGGAACGCATAGTCCTTGGACTAAGAGACGCAACCCTACAGAGCAAACTGCTAAACCGACCCAACATCACCGCAAACGAAGCCATTGCTGAAGCAACTGCCGCTGAAGCCGCAAAGAAGTCTGCAGCAAAAAGGAAGCAGATGAATACAACGAACAGTCCGATCCTGAATAAAGAGAAGAAAACAGAGAGAGCCCAAAACCACGCTGCCACAACCTCTCACCATGAAGATATATCGAATCCTCAACCGATCTCGAAGATGAAGACGAGGAGGTAAACAGACTCCATTCAGAAAGAAACTGGAGAGAGAAACGAGGGAGAAAACCTGAATTTCAGTGTGCGGGTTGCGGCAGAAACCACCCGAGGTCTGAATGCCGATTCTTGGATGCCACATGCCGGCATTGTGAAAAACGGGGGCACATTGCGAGGGTCTGCCGAAACAAAAAGAGCTATAGTCCAAAGAGACACGGCAGTACCCCCCCCCCCCAGAAACAAAGAAAGGCCAACCGGAAGTCGCTGGAGCCGAGAGCATAGAAATCAATGGCTCAACGAAAAGGAATAAACGCATCAGACAATCACTATTGGGACGGCCAGAACAACAAACACTAAGAAGGTTCAAATCAACGTCCTGATAGAAGGCGAGCCATGTGAAATGGAAGTAGACTCCGGTTCGTATTTATCAGTGGTATCATGGAACACAATAAAAAGTTTGATACCAGACATAAAACGTAGAGAACTCGAAGAGCAAAGCCTGATCATCAAAGACTACCAGGGTAACAAGATACCAGTAGTGGGACTGGGACATTTCAAAGTAAGATTTAAGAAACACACCGAAATTCTTCCATTAACCATTGTTGACAGAGATCGCCCCAGCCTGCTCAGGTTAGAATGGTTCGAACCGCTCAGAATCGAAGTGACAGGGATCAACAGCATCACCATGACAGACTGGGAGAAAGACCTGATGGAGGAATTCCATGACGTATTCGACGGGACCTTAGGCAAGTACCGTGGGACCCCTATATCATTTAACTTAAACCCGAATGTAGCCCCCATCAGGCTTAAAGCCAGAAGGGTACCCTTTGCACTAAGACCAAAAATTGACGAGCAACTAAACAAGCTAATCGCTCAGGGGGTGCTAGAGCCAACCGACTACGCCAGATGGGAAACCCCAATTGTGACTCCCATAAAACCTGACAGGTCCGTGCACATCTGTGGTGACTATAAGGCCACCCTGAACCATGCATTGCAACAGAGCGCATATCCCGTTCCGGTAGTCCAACACCTGTTGCATTCATTGGGGAGAGGAAGGATTTTTGCGAAGCTCGGCCTCGCACAGGCATATCAACAATTACCCGTTGATCCTGAGACAGCAGAGGCGCAAACCATCGTAACGCATAGAGGAGCCTTTAAATGCAATAGATTACAATTCGGTGTCAGCGTGGCCCCTGGCGTTTTCCAGAGCCTAATGGAACGCCTCCTCCAAGGATTAAAAGGGGTGGTTCCCTACTTCGATGATGTACTAATATCAGCCGAAGACAAAAAACAACTAAAAGACCGATTAAGGGCAGTTTTGGCAAAATTTAGAGAAGCCGGACTCAAAGTTAAAAAAGAAAAATGCCAACTTGCCACAAACCAGGTCGAGTTCCTGGGATACCTTATAGATGAAGCAGGAATCCACCCCACAAAAAAAAAAAAAAACGAGCGATAAAGGAAGCTCCCAGACCAAAAAACAAAACGGATTTACAAGCATTTTGGGGACTCATTAATTTTTATCATGTCTTTCTGCTACAGAAGGCAACAGTAGCGGAACCACTGCATAGACTCCTCGATAAAAAAGCCATTTGGAAATGGGGCCACCAAGAGGAAACAGCATTCCAAAAAATTAAAGACTTAATCACATCAAAATCTGTATTGATCCAATGCAGTAACACACTACCTCTAACTGTCACCTGCGACGCTTCACCCTTCAGAATAGGTGCAATACTTAGCCACACACTACCAGACGGCAGAGAAGCACCGATCGCCTTTTATTCCAAGACGCTGTCCAAGACCGAAAGAAACTACAGCCAACTGGACAGGGAAGCCTTGGCAGCCATCTCGGGGGTGAAACGTTTCCACGAATACCTATACAGCAGGACATTTTCTTTAATTACCGACCACAAACCGCTATTGGGAATCCTATCCGGAGACAGGGCCACCCCCAATATCCTGTCCCCAAGAATGACAAGATGGTCAGAATTTCTTGCAGCCTACAATTACAAACTCATTTATCGCCCA